TCTGTCGTTCTTACACTTGCTGAGTTCTCCTTTCTCTGGTATCTTGATGAGGTGTCCTTCTTTTCAGTTCGTCGGTGCTTTCAGTGGATCCTGTAAGGCTTGGAACCTGTTGTTTAGAGTTATCTTGAATTCTTTGAGTTTGTTAGTATCTCGCAGGAAGGCTGTATTGAACCTTTGTACTACTGTTTCCCCAGTTGTTCAGTGTTTCTTTAGCTTCAGTTTCATCTTGGCAACCAACGGGTGGTGATCTGGAGCTATGTCAGTTCCTTTCCTGTTTCTCACGTCTTTCATTGTCCCTCTGAAATTTTTACTGATACAAATGTGATCTATCTGGTTCTCCGTGGTGTGATCCAGTGAGACCCATGTAGCTTTGTGTATGCGTTCGTGTGGGCATATTGTGCCACATATGACCTAATTGTTGAAGCACCAAGGCAACTCTCTGAGTGTGTGAAGCATTTCCCTTCGCGACCGGAGTTGTCAGGTAACGCAGTTGTCAGGAAACGGGTACTAGGTAAGGATGGCAAATCAATTGATGACGTAGTGAAACTTCATTAGTTGAGTTGGCTGGGATACGTGTTACGTATGCCCAACCACAGACTGCCTCGACGTGCGATGTTCAGCGGTATAGGAGTAGGTTGGAAGAAAGCTAGGGGCGGCCAAACCAAAACATGGCACAAGTCCATGAAGTCACTGACAAGTGGACTGAGTCATGTTGGTAGGTGTAGACTACCTGGTTGGGGACCGCGAAATGATAGCAACCGATGGTTAGAGACCCTGAATGACATAGCTCAAAATCGTTTGCAATGGCGCAGGTGCATTCACTCTGTGTTCTCCCAAATTCTAATCTTCTGAATTCTTCATGTCCCTTTTTTCCTCTTTCCAAATTTATTTCACTGGATTATACTCTTTAAATAACATCTCCAAACCCTAATCTTTCCGATTACTGCTTATACTCTTATTACCTCTACCACTACGGGATTGAATCGACAACTGCATTTCTGTGCTAATGTGGTGTGGCAACTCGAACTGATGTACGTACGTACGAAGTTCTACGTTGTTACTGACTGACTGACTGGAGTACAGCATCTCTCCCGCAGTCAAACCCCTTCTCATAGTCAATGAAGTTGATGTATAGTGACGAGTTTCATTCAACTGGTTGTTCATCGATGATCCGTAGTGTTGCAATTTCGTCTGGCACGACCGTTCCTTGCGGAATCCAGACTGTAGATCTTGAAGTTGGGTGTCCACTGCATCTTTCGTACAGTTCAGAAACACTGTTGAAAACGTTTCATGGTACTGACAGTAGTGTAATCCCTCTGTCGTTCTTACACTTGCTGAGTTCTCCTTTCTCTGGTATCTTGATGAGGTGTCCTTCTTTCCAGTCCATCGGTAATTTTTCCTCCTCCTCCCAAATCTTCTTGAATAGAAGGTGAAGCATATTTGTAGTTATTTTGATGTCTGACTTCAGTGCCTCAGATGGTATATTGTCAGGTACAAAAGTGTTGGATTCCCATATTCCTAAGTTACAATTACTTTGACTTTATTTGAAACACATTTGTCACGTTGAACAGAGGATCTACGAAAAGTAACTAAATGGTGAGGATCAAGGACGCTTGATATGAGGTTATCAAGGTTTGATTCTTCTGAAACAACTTCCTCATATTTATTGAGAATCTCATTAGTAGACAGTGGGTCTCTATGATAATCAGCATCCACCGAAACTGCATTAGGTTCTTGAATAACACTTGATGCATCTGACATATTTTCCTCATTTTTATAAGATTTTTTATCATGAACATGTGAATCACTAAGATAACTCATACCTGGTTAAACAAGAGAATCATGATGACTAGATCCATCAGAAACCTCTATCGCAGAATGATAAGCTCTATTTGGTGCACCTGCATTGATTGTAATGCTCGATTTATTTTCTGTTTCTTCGTTGACAGTTACTGCCACAATTTCATGAACATTTAACAGGGCATTGTCCTTTTGTGAGCTGGACAAGTTACTGTTTGCGCATTCTGTTTCAGGGATAATGGGATTCGAACCCACTACAGGGCATGTCTCTAAAATGGACGTTTCTGGACCACTGGGCGGATCCTGAGTGACTGCTACTGCCTGGTTTACTTTACAGCTTGTCAAGGATTCATGGAGGCTTTCATCGACACGTTTGTACGTTCTGCAGTCATTTTCTAGCTCTGTATGCAAATTGGAAATTAATTCATCAACTTCTGCCACATCTCCAAAGCATGGGTGATTCAGCAGCCGTGTGAGTAAATTGTCTATAAAGTTTTATTGGCTCTTTTTGAAACACTGCTGTTGTCGCTGAAATGGCAACTGAAATTGATCGGGAGAGATATCCATTTTCTGTTTCTGTATGAATCAGAACAGTGATAGAAAACACAGCCAACCAACCAATGTCATTCAAGGACACCGGAGAAAAATCTGTATGCTGATTGTTCGGAATAAATACACTGAACTTCGTCCAATTACAGGCTGACCTTGATTATTTATTTTGAAGATTGTGGGTTCGGAATTTTTTTCACCCCGTTGCTAATTGTTGTAACTTGTGCCCTGTGTCTTATTAATGCATAATATAATGATACCGCCAACTAGAGAACAGTGAATTATCGATCGAACCAATGACGCATAAAACGCGTACGAGCAGTCAAGTGCCCTTATCGGTCGTGCTTCCCACCTAGCCCAGCCTGTTAAGTCCACTCTCTGAGATGTGAATCATTTATTTCAACCATACTGCGTTTATATATCAACCAGACAGACCACATCATACCATAAAATATGAAACAACATTTGTATAAGATTTAGCCAAATGTGGCTGTGAATGAGGGAGATAGTAATTAAAAGATAGGGCTTAACTCAAGAATGGTAAATCGTATGATAATAGTCTGTGGATCAAAATATAACTTATGATGAAAGGAAGATGAATATGAATAGTTTAGCTACATATCAATTATAGGATAAAAATGTATGTATAGTATTTGTCCATAAATAGATCTCGAAACTTACCATTCATTCTCAACGGGATATAACAGAAACACACTAACATGCCATATGAATGGAAGGTGGCTTGAAAATTTCCGGTTAAGATAAATACAGGCCGCTTTATTTGCTCTAAGTGCAGCTTTGTAGATTTCGCGGTCAATAAAAAGTGCTTTATCATACTTTTCGACAAATAGTCTCAAATCATCCGAGTTCACTAGAACAGTGTAGCCGTCCGACCTACGTACGCCCCTAACCCAATCCAACTCTAAACTGGTAGTGCGGCTATCTTGCTTCCTAAGTAAGCTCGGAGGGCAGGTTGAATCTTACTAGATTGATGATTTGTTTGGCGCAAAAGATTGCTAAATTACAGTGATAATAGTTGATGAACAAACTATGCTGTGTACTGAACTCCCAAAGTTAATGGAGTAATACTTGTTACAATCCGTAATATTGACTAGTCATGGTGAACAACGCAACAATCAGGAACCGATTTTCTGACGCTAGGATATATTCAACGTTCGAGAATGATTTGAATAGTGATATGAAGGAGGAAAATGTAGGACTAAGTAATTAGCTATATTTATTGTTTAAAGCAGTCAATCTATTGGTTTTCCACCCTGTAAGTTTCCATTGTATTACTGACTCACTAATTTTAAATAATGCCAGTCCAATGCATTCAAATTTATTTACTGGTTAGACATTTGTAGTCATATACATATGTCGTACACTTCGATGTCGTTTTAATCAGTGGTAGATCAGTGATAAATGAGTGATAAAATCTGTGTTTGTTGAATAATTAAATTTCTACATGCAGTCATACGTTCTTCTTTTCTTTGAGCAATATCAGTCTTCTGTTTAACAATTAAAGAGTAACAGTTTCTTCCTAGTCACAGTAGACATCCATATCAGTAGTAGTATCATCATTTTCATTCAAGTCAGTCCAACCAATTCTCAGTATTACTGCACTAATCTTGGAACTTGTCCCTCATTTTATTGAGTTGATATGGAATGAAGTCGTTAAGATCTGTTTGGTAGTTAAGAGTGAGATATTATACCAGACCATTCGGGGCACAGAAATATGATTGACAGCACTAAAATTGTCGACTAAGCAGGAAGAATTAAAAGCTGAATATGTTCAAGAATGCGTGCTTGAATTTATTGTTCTTGGCTCAAGACAGTTTCTCTGTAGCTAAACTGGTTATCTTGGTAATATTTAAGTGGGCATCTTATTAGGTATAAGGAGTGTTAAAAAGACAGTATATTATAATGTTTAAGCGTGAATGGATTTTTATATGACTGAAATTAAAACTGGTCGACAGCATGATATTTTTCGAAGTATAAAATGATAGTCTTCCTCAGACCTAACATAACCTCATCTCATTTTATAACTTTAAAACACATTACATTTTGTTTGGTTTATGTTCACATGAACCAGACTCTGAAATTTAGCTGACTTAATGTTAAGGAAGTAGAAATAAGAAAAACAACCATATGTATTAATCATATTGCAACAGATAGCTGGTTAAATGCATTGCTGTCGCGTTTTGTTGGTGACTGTGACATGTAGATCGATATCAAGACTTTCGGAAACCAAAATTAGAAATCACGTAATAGTTTAATTTGAACAGACCGAAATGTAAAGTAGTTCAGGAAGCATATAAACTTCGTTTTTCCAACTTTAATAATATGTTATACAGAAGGTATCAATATTTAAATAGAAATAGATAATCATTATGACATGTACAAATCGTTACTTGTGTTTAATGTTGATAAACGTTTCTGAGATATTAAAACAACTGTACTCCAATAATGTCAGTCTATTTTGAAGTGAATAGTATTTTAAAATTATAAGAAATTCAATTGAAGCCATTCTTCTCTATAGAGATTTAGAATAGTTCGATCAAGTTTAAAGAAAATAAATGAAGTAGGCAAAAGAGAAATGGAAAATATCATTGTCTTTTATTCAATGTTAACTAATCAACAATTGTAGGTCATTAATCATCAGGATTAAGTGAAATAAATGTGCCTTTACTACCCATTGTAGTACCTTGAATATCTTTATATTCGCGCATGTAATTCTGAGCGGAAAGTGGACGTTTAGATTCATCGACTTTTATAGAACTTAGGCAACATGCCTTTGAATAAAATGTCTTGAAGTGTTTTTTATCTAAAGCTTTAAAAAGTGAGAAATAGAATAAAAACAACAATATAAGATGATAAATATTAAGTTTCCTATGTAAATTGACACGACATGCCAAGATTATCTATGTCTAAAAAATAAATCCACTACAGCCATAATCATTAATTCAATCAATGGTTCAGAAACTGTTACACTGAATTATAGATCAATCACTTATTTGTCCAGTAGTCAAATTTTAATGTGGTGATATGAGCATTAGTTTATATTAACTAATCAATAACTAAACACATGTATACAATTTACAGCGTCAGTAGATTGAATAGCACTAAATAACAATATAATGAATTAATGGGTCGTATACTTACTTCTTCCTGATAGCCTTCAGTAAGTATTCAGCAATAAAGTGTGCAAAGAATTTTAAGCGAAATTACACTTCACTTCGAATTCGATGTTATATTGTTCAGTTTTTGAATTTAGAAATCTATCGTTATCATTTTTCTACTTATAAGTAATTGTAAATAACCTGAAACGGGACTTATATTTTCCTTCGCTCGAAAATTTGTTCGCAAACATATCGAGATAGTTTGCCTACTAAGAAAATGTTAGTTCCTAATTGATGAGCCCTATACGACAACTTTCATTCAGAACACTTACAACATTGTAACTACACCATTTTCTTAGCGTACCTATCACCTTCTTACACTCTATACCGAATACGATTCTTTGTTTACAGGAATGATGACTGTTTTTGTGTATGGTCTAATCAAAATATTGTACAATGAGATTATGTTTTTGTTTGCATCATATTCATCATTTTATTAACATCTTTGTGACAAATTTTCAAAAAGAACATCTCGTCAGATAATTTACTGTTTTTTTGAAATGTTGAATTATTATTTGTATCAACCTGATCCTTACTGTAAAATTGGAGTTTATCTTATAATTATTCTCAGAATATATTTTCTTATTGTTCATATTATTATTATACTCTTCAGATTATCTGGTTGAGGTTAAGACAATGGAAATACTCAGAAATGATTGTAACTTAACATGAACAGTGTAGAATCTAACCAAAATATGTATCAAATAGGTTTTCATCAGAAAAATAGATATTCATAGGCGGAAACGAGGTTATTAATATAATAATAGAATCATTAATAATAAAATAACTAAACCAAGATAATCTAGTTCGAACTGTTAACAGCCATATCGATACATATCATGACTATCATGCTAATATTGATCAGGAAATCTACATTATCTCACTCCTTCCCAATTAGTAGTTAATCTGTTGATTTGACTACTCCAGTCCTTTCATCATAGTTTTATGCTAGCCATCGCTGCATAACACGATAGATTGTAGTTAAGTATGAGTAAAACCTTATCAAGCTTGACTGAAACTATTTTAAACTAAATATCCACCTTCATTTAGAAAGATGCAAATTTTTACATTTTATGCGAATAGATTAACTCACAAACAATCAGTTGCACATAATAATGAGAAACAAAACCGGTTATGCAGCAGATAAATTAGTAGTTCTCTGAAGTTATAGAAGATGGATTATGAGTATAAAAATCAGATGGACAATTGAACCATTGTGATCAGTGAATTTAGCATAATATGAATTCTATGTGGAAACAAATACTTTTCACTACTTCGGTATCTATCAGTATAGGGTTGCAGAGATTGTTAAGCTTATGATTGAGATCATGAATCAATCAATTTTGGATTACCATTGGAAACCTGAAAGCACTGGAGATAATGAGTGTCAGGTAGAGATATGTATCTACTTCATACAATCTACGATGGTCGTGCAATTTCGTGGATTATTTGAATTTAGACATTATAGTCGTTGGATGCCGGTTCAGTGATCTAGAGATTAAGCGTTCGCACGTGAGACCGAAGGTTCCGGGTCCGAACCTCACTCCAAGGGTCGTGAGTCCCATACTAGGACGGGATGGTCGTCCAGTGCTTCCAAGTTTTTCACGGTTATCTAACATTAATCGATTCATGCGTTCAATCAAAACTTCAATGTCTGCTAGCATAATAAAAGTGTATTCAGTAGAAAAACACAGTTTACAAGTAATTAATGTTAAATTTGTCATTCTTTATTCAGATGTAATTTTTCTGGAAGCTGCAAAGTTTAATCGACGGTAGATTAAAGAAAAAAAAGTGGTAACTTTACTTACCGATTAAATCTTTAACTGGACCATTACACCCTCCATATTCTTCCGGCATGATTTGTTTCAAACCAGGTATCTTTTTGAAAGCTTTTTCCGTGTCATCTTTAATTCTTATAATCTAGTCGTATTAAAATTGTGTGTAGATACGACAATGAAAAGTGTTATTAGATGAAATACATTTAATTTAATGATTCTTTTATTCGTTAGAACACTAAGGTCTGGAACTATGTTTTTTTACTAGTTAATACTTGAATTTCTCGACTTGAAACTAGTAGCTTGTTTAGTCAACCTTAATTTCAACAGTTTACTGTTCACACTTATCCTGTTATTGTTTGTGTATTTATTTTAATTGTTTTCTCTTTTGACATAATTTTTGATCTTATAGTTGCTCGTGATCTCAAACCTCCAAAATTTCCTTATCAACTCAAAATCTTGATCCCTCTTCTCCGCTACATTCAATTGGAAAAATGTCTTGCTTCTATCTTTTCATTCTAACATGAATCAAAGATATATCAATTGTTCTAGTAATTTCCATCAAAGGTACTTATTAAAACTATTATACATAAAATCTGACTAATTCGTTCCAAAATAATCGATTATTTAACACACAGTGTTCGGTAGAGTCGAAATGTAATTTTTTTCAAAAGAAAGAATCAACATTTAAATGGTATACCGACGTCATCAACTTCTGTACCAATAAAACTCTCACAATTGTACCAATCCATTAATACGATTCCCTGAGAGGTTCAAACTTGTCAGAGGATCATTTTTAATGGTTTTAACAAGAAAACATAATTTATCTTTGTACTATGTGATCAGAGAAAATCGATTTTAACAAGAAGTGCTTTTAATATCTGATACTATCTATTAATAAACCTACAAATAGTATTATTTTGTCAGAGAAAAAGAAACTAAATAGTTCATGCTTTTTAAAAATTTGTATTGAATGAATGAATAGGTGAACAACTTTACTTTTACACAGATGGTCAAGAGGTATCCAAAGAAATGATTGTGATTAGCTGGTTCGAAAACGTTTGATTGAGATCATGAATCGATTGATGTTAGACCACTGTTGAAAACCTGGAGGCACTGGAAGGCCGTTTCGTCCTACTTTGGGACTCCTCAGCAGTGCGCATCCACGATCCCGCTCGCGGGATTCCAACCCGGGGCCTTCAGTCTCGCGCGCGAACGCTTAACCGTGACCAGTTGAGCTTATCCGTGTCGGGTAGAGACAGGTATCTACCTCAGTACAATGGAAGATGGTCGTGCTAGTTCGTGGATTGGTTGAAGTTAGACTCTAACATCATTGGATGCCGGCTCAGTGGTCCAGTAGGTTGAGCGTTTGCGCGAAAGAGTGAAGGCCCCGGGTTGGAATCCCGCGAGCGGGATCGTGGATGCGCACTGCTGAGGAGTCCCAAAGTAGGACGAAACGGCCTTCCAGTGCCTCCAGGTTTTCAACAGTGGTCTAACATCAATCAGTTCATGATCTCAATTATCAACGACATGTTTGATGTTCGGGAACTCTTTTCAAAGCCATTCACTGTTATAACGTAAAATTATCAACCGGTGTATTGTCAGATCACAATGAAGAACATTTTAAAATTAAAGAAAAATAGCATAAACATTTTATCTTGCTACATATTACTAGCGAACTACAGAATCTGTAACCAGTCAACTCATGGAACTGGAGCTAAAACAGTCAGACTTGCATCAATTATTCTGTTAACTGTATGATACTTATTGGTTAATCCATACACTACGTTGAATTACAAATCTTACTGTACACTTAATTAAAAGAAGAACAGTATAAAGGAGGATATCAGGAAAAAAAGCAAAGTACTAAGGGGAATATAACTTACTCGTTGTCGCATTTTATCACTTAACCAAAATTCAAAAATTTTGAAACCTATATCGAATGCTTTCGATTCTTTATAAAATATAAGATGTTTAGTACGTCCAGGAGTAGCTTCCTAGAATAAATAAAAATCAAACAGAAACAATTCATAATTCATATGATTAACATGTGTTGATAAAAGCGGAAATTATAAATTGTCAGTTTCACTGAAATAATGAATCGATCCAAGTTAGATCATCAATGAAAACCTGGAAAAACCGGACGGCCATTTCGTCCTACTCTGAGATGTTTCAGCAGTTAGTATCCATGATCTTGTACACCTTCCAGTGCTTCCAGGTTTTCATTAGTGGCCCAACCTAAGTCGGTTAATGAATTCAGTGAAACTCAACAATCACCACACCCTCATAAAGAAAATTATTATGTGATAACTAGTGACTAGCTTTGAGACGAACTTTCCGGAGTTCTAGTGAGAAGCCGTAACCAGTGGAGCTAATTCCTGTCGGATGTAAGGGAGGGGCCCACCAAACACGGTGGAAGATGGTTGTTCAATGAAATTCAACAATTTACATAACCCATTACTGAAAATCAACTTGTCAATATTGTAAGTTGCATCTAATACATAACGAGGAGTTAACTGGGAATCTCTGACATATAGCTTATAGGTTACGCTAAAACACTACTGACTGATATAGTCTTTCATTACACTAAATAATGATGTTACAACTATTAACAATGAATAGTTAATTATATCAGTCAATTAAATTCAATGATATTATTGAGGTGGTAGTGTAGAAAGTTAAACTAAACAAAAAGATAATCAGGCATGTTGGTTCATAATAGAGTGGTAATCAACGTTATGTTTGTCTAATCCTTTATATTGGTTGAATTCTATTATTAAATTTGCAGTTTGGCCACTAGTTTAAGTGAAATTGCTTGCAATATTTTTGGATTTTAAGTTTTTCGAAGGAATTCGGTAAGAAGCCCAATGTTTTGTACTGGTTACTATTGGTCAGAATATAACATCTAGGAACTTGAGTAAAAGATGTTCCCATCAGATTCATGGTTAGATACCTCACTACTGGGCTGTTTTTAGCCCCATTTAGCCTCATTTACTTCGCCTGGAGTCCCTCCAGGGGCTACTGCCGGTCCTAAGCCCGGATAAAGGAGGAGGGTTGGGCATGGGGTTAGCGTCCCCATCCCGTAGAAAACTGACTCGCTAAAAAACACTAACCAGAAAAAAATTATTCAAACCTTTTAAACTCTGCCCTGGGAGTCAGAAGGTCTTCTTTTAGAAGAACTGTGACGCCTCATGATGAAAGCCGAATTTCTTTGGAAGTTACGAGGCCGATGCCCCTTCTGACAACCAGAGCGACCATTTATTTAGGTACATGGAATGTTCGTACAATGTGGGACACCGGAAGAGCCTTCCAGATTGCTGCAGAAATGAGAAGATACAACCTAGAGGTACTTGGGATCAGTGAAACACATTGGACACAAGTTGGACAACAACGACTAACTACAGGAGAGCTCCTGTTATACTCCGGCCATGAAGAAGAAAATGCACCACATACACAAGGAGTTGCATTGATGCTGTCCAAACAAGCGCAAAATGCACTTATAGGATGGGAATCTCATGGACCAAGGATCATCAAAGCCTCCTTCAAAACAAAGAAAGAGGGCATTTCAATGAACATCATCCAATGCTATGCGCCTACCAACGACTACAATGAAAAAGCTAAAGATCAGTTCTACAATAGGCTGCAGTCAATAGTCGAGAAGTGCCCAACAAAGGACCTGACCATTCTGATGGGACATTTCAATGACAAGGTTGGAACGGACAACACTGGATATGAAGACATCATGGGACGACACGGACTGGGAGAAAGAAACGAAAATGGTGAGAGATTTGCAATTTTATGTGCCTTCAATAAGCTGGTCATAGGCGGCACCATATTCCCACATAAACGCATACACAAAACCACATGGACTTCATCGGATCACACCACGCAAAACCGAATCGACCATATTTGCATCAACAAAACGTTCAGGAGGACGATGGAGGATGTGATAATCAAGAGAAGAGCTGACATAGCATCAGATCATCACTTGTTGATCGCCAAGATGAAATTGAAACTCAAGAAGTACTGGACGACGGGGCGGGCAATATCACAAAAGTTTAATACGGCCTTTCTTCAGGATACTAACAAACTCAACAAATTCAAGATAGTCCTCAGCAACAAGTTCCAGGTCTTTCATGATCTACTCAATGGAGAAGAAACTACTGTGGAGAACAACTGGAAGGGGATCAAAGAGGCAATCACTTCAATATGTCTTGAGTTTCTGGGCCACAAGAAGCACTATCACAAGGAATGGATCACTGTTGATACACTGGATAAGATTCAAGAAAGGAGGAACAAGAAGGCAGCAATCAATACCAGCCGAACAAGAGCAGAGAAAGCCAAGGCACAAGCTGAATACACAGAAGTAAACAAGCAAGTGAAGAGGAGCATCAGAACCGACAAACGTAAATATGTGGAAGATTTAGCAACGACGGCGGAAAAGGCTGCAAGAGAAGGAAACATGAGACAATTGTATGACACGACAAAGAAACTCTCTGGAAATCGCTGCAAACCAGAACAACCAATGAAAAGCCAGGAAGACGAGGTAATCACCAACATTGAAGAGTAACAAAACAGGTGGGTAGAACACTTAAGATAACTCTTGAATCGACCAGTAGACTGAACCCACCCTACATCGAAGCAGCATCCACGGACCTCCCAATCGATGTTGGCCCACCAACAATTGAAGAAATCAGCATGGCCATCAGACAAATCAAGAGTGGCAAAGCAGCAGGACCGGACAACATCCCAGCAGAGGCACTAAAAGCAGACGTGGCGGTAACTGCAAGGATACTCCACATTCTCTTCAGCAAGATTTGGGATGAGGAACAAGTATCAAAAGACTGGAAAGAAGGACTCCTGGTCAAAATACCGAAGAAAGGCGATTTCAGCAAGTGTGATAACTACAGGGGCATCACTCTTCTCTCAATACCGCGAAAAGTCTTCAACAGGGTATTGTTAAACAGGATGAAGGACTGCGTAGACGCCCAACTTCGTGACCAACAGGCAGGATTCCGTAAGGATAGATCGTGTACAGACCGAATCGCAACTCTATGGATCATTGTGGAACAATTAATTGAATGGAATTCATCACTCTACATCAACTTCATTGACTACGAAAAGGCATTTGACAGCGTGGACAGAATAACACCATGGAAGCTTCTTCGACACTACGGCGTGCCCCAGAAGATAGTCAATATCATACAGAACTCATATGATGGATTAAACTGCAAAATCGTGCATGGAGGACAGTTGACAAAGTCGTTCGAAGTGGAGACCGGTGTTAGGCAAGGTTGCTTATTCTCACCCTTTCTCTTTCTCCTGGTGATCGACTGGATCATGAAGACGTTAACGTCTGAAGGGAAGCACGGGATACAATGGACATCTAGGATGCAGTTGGACGATCTAGACTTAGCAGATAATCTGGCCCTTGTATCCCAAACGCAACAACAAATGCAGGAGAAGACGAACAGTGTGGCAGCAGCCTCAGCAGCAGTAGGTCTCAACATACACAAAGGGAAAAGCAGGATTCTCCGATACAACACAGAATGCATCAACCCAGTCACAATTGACGGAGACGATTTAAAAGATGTAAAAGCCTTTACGTATTTGGGCAGCATCATTGATAAACATGATGGGTCTGATGCAGATGTGAAAGCGCAGATCAGTAAAGCAAGAGCAGCATATTTACAACTGAAGGACATCTGGAACTCAAAGCAACTGTCAACCAACACCAATGTCAGGATTTTCAATACAAATTTCAAGACAGTTCTACTGTATGGGGCAGAAACCTGGAGAACTACAAAAGCCATCATCAGAGCATACAAGTGTTTATTAACAGTTGTCTACGCAAAATACTTCAGATCCGTTGGCCGGATACTATTAGCAACAACGTACTGTGAGAGAGAACAAACCAGATCCCAGCGGAGGAAGAAATCAGGAAGAAGTGCTGGAAGTGGATAGGACGCACATTGAGGAAATTAGCCAACTGCGTTACAAGACAAGCCCTCACATGGAATCCTCAAGGTCAAAGGAGGAAAAGAGGAAGACCAAATAAAACATTACGCCGAGAAATGGAAATAAACATGAGAAAAATGAACAAGAATTGGATGGAACTAGAAAAGAAGGCCCAGGACAGAGTGTGTTGGAGAATGCTGGTCGGCGGCCTATGCTCCATTGGGAGTAACAGGTGTAAGTAAGTCCCATTTAGGAATGGTAGACACTAATTAATCCTCTCAGAGAAGATTAACGTTACAGGTATCAAGAAACCTCTATTTAAAGCTTCTTAACAACAGCTTAGGATCACCTAATATGAATGCTTGAGTTTAGAAATCATTTCGATTTTGCTAGTGAATTTCTTTATGATTAGTTTGTAAAAAAACTTATGTTAATCAGTACTATATATATTTCTAAATAATTTTCATCACGAACTGACATAAGCTGAAGAAAAATTTAAAATCACTGAGAAGTGAACAACTATCAAACTACTACAGTTTCCACAAACCTCCATTCTGACAATAATCACCATGCGCTCATTAACAAATGGCTTCAAGATGGATTTCCTGAAGGTCTAGTGAGATGCCATGACCAGGGAAGTCCAACTGTATCTTTTGTGAGGCATTTACTCACTGAAGACAATGGTGGACGGTCGCGCAATATCGTGGATCCGTTGAAGCTATACATTAACACCGTTAGAAGTCGGTTCAGTGGTCTAGAGGTCAAGTTTTCGCGCGCTAGACCGAAGGTCCTGGATTCGAGTCCCACGTGTGGGATGCGCACTTCTGATGAGTCGTATATTAGGAGGGAACGGCCGTCCAGTGCTTCTAGGTTTTCAATGGTGGTTTAGCTTAAATTGACTCATGAATTCAACCATTAAATATTTTATATTAGTTTGAGACTCCTCATCAATGCACATACATGAGTACTCGAACCCAGAACCTTCAGTTTTCTCTTTTATCGAAATAGTTTTGAACTAACGATCTATATTATTAGATTTAGTCAACTTGTGGTGCTACGCGACTTTTATCGAATGTAATCAATGATTTATTGTTTTAATCTTGGCTCTCTTTGTTTTACAGGGAAGTTTAACCATGAAACTAATCAGGAGTTAGCATATGATTAAAATTATTGTCATTTTTAAGCGAATCGAATTTGATGATGTGAGGAGTGGGGTTCATATCTTCTTATATTTTTTATTAGAATAAATAAAATAATCGATTACTTCTTTTTTTTGAGATTCATTTACCTGTAATAATTTCATTGAGCTTTTCGCTGTTCTTGGGTCAGTCCATTCACTGACTTGTTTAGCTGTTGTTCCTGATAAATCAATGAAAATACCGACTCCTCCAATTTGGTATTGTTCGTCGAAAATAAAACGTTCAAAACTCATATTATTCAAAGCTCTCATTTGTGTTTGTGATAAACGATCAGCTTGCCAAGCCTCTTTAAAAAATTATTTATTTTCACAGTGATTCAATATATTTATTAGAAAAACTTACTCAACCTTAGTATAAACATGTGTACTCCACTGTCTACGATACCCAATGGAACAAAAATGCTGATTTGAAAAGAACGGATAAAATATACATTGTACTGATTGATAAATCTTAAACAAGAAACTTTGAAACTGAGACATTCAATATACAATGACTATAGGAAACAGAGTAAAAGGGAAATAAATTTCTTAGAAAGACATACTGTTTCTACCTAGATGAATATGAGTAATCAATAATAAGATAATGTGAAGTAATTGATAGATTGTATTTTGTTGTTGTCATCATAATACATGAGTGATGACTGAAATTAAATAAAAATCTAGGTTTCGACATAACCTTAGGGTTAGTTACTGATCTTTCAAGTTTTTAGTGTTGATTTCACATATTTTAAAGGTGATTTTCATTATGAATTGTCATCGTTAGGATGGATATTCTGGATATTCTAGTTGGAATTTTAGACTTACAAAGTCGTCTGAATCTACAGGAAATTACTAACTTACTGATCGTTAATATTCACCTGGCAAATAGATTGGAATTGGAAATGTGAACTTCTGGCTTCTGATTAAGTGAACTGACGTTACCATGGTTATCATGAGGTACAGAGACCTTATTTTCGAATTCCTTAGGAGTTTTAAACGCTCAATTTCGAGAAATCCAAAAAACGAAGTATCTACTTACTAAACATTGATTTTCAGTGATTTATTGAAGAATCTGTTGACTGATCTGACTGCATATCACCAACGTTTATGATCGATTCGTAACAAGTAATGACTCAAATATTACTTATTCAGTTAGTGTAAATCAGGAGCTGACAATCTCAGTTTGTAGGACAGCATATTTGGTGTAACTAATGAAAACGTATATTATTCAATACAGGAATGATAATCTCAGTCTTCCAGTGATCAGAGAGACAAAACAGACATATACACTCATCATGAGTCTAGGTACAAATTTAAGTGCACATGAAATCAGGTCATTATTGATCGTTCATCTGATATTGGTTCATGATTATTATTATCTGAAAATTATCTATTTGTTCACTGTATTATTTGAATACTTAAATAGCGTATCTGTCTAAATAGTCATATTGAGGTCAAAACGTATATTGGTTGATGAAGCGGCTGTTCTATTTAGGATTTTTGCAAATAGGAGTGAACTACTGGAATTTCTCTGTATGTTGACTAATTTTCAAACAGTGTAAAATCAAGGGCTGACTGTGAAGATTATTTCTTTCAAGAATGTAGACCTTTTAGCAGTAAAGGTCCTCAAACCCACTTTAGACTGAACCTAAGATCTTTCGGACCTCAAAGGGAGCACTCAACCTTTAGACTAATCAACCATTTAATGATGTAAACTGCAAATTAAACAATTTCAACTGACACGAGAAAAATTATTCACTTACCCGGCATCTAGATATACGTCTACAACCGGATCAGTTAATTTTGGATACTTATACCATTCTGTAATCCCATGTTTACTTGAACAACGTACACTACAGAAATTATCAATGCGTTTCTGTGCAACCGAATGATCATAATGTGCATAACGTAGAAAACTAAGCAAGAAAGCATCATCTTCGTGTTTTAAACATTTTTTTTAAGAAAAGGAAGATAAATATTTGAATAAAGTTACTAACAGAAATAATAGCAACATCTAAAAAACATATCACATTAAATTGTTAATGATAAATCACTCTGCAAAAGGTTTAATTCAGGTTGACTTAATATTATTTATATACTAATCCAATGATAAAGTATAACTGTAATGAACAAGAATACGGATGGTGACAACCAAATGTATTTCAACTCAAAGTTACAGAGTTCTTTCACCAGATGTGAAGACTTTAAGTCCAATACTTCATTTGCAAATCCTCCATCAACTGTCTCAAACTTCATCGGTCTTTCATTGCTTTAATAATTACTCTCTGTTCCCGTTCTTTTCGATTCGATCTTCCCAACCTTCTGTTGTCAGGCATTCCACTTCTGTCTGGTGTTATATATTACTTATGTCGACATAAGTAGCATATGCCACATGATGATTATAAACATCTTTCATAATCTTTTACTAAATCATGATGAATAACTCATTTGTATAGGATTCTGAACTTCACATTTATGTTTAGGAGTGCGGTCTATCATAAGTTAAGTGGATAATGCGGTTGAGTTTGGAGCGAACGGTACTGGATTCGAGTCCTGGAGTACATCCAGATGACGACTCACAAATAGGATAAAATCAGCGTTTTGTATTTCATTGTCAGCTACCGTCTAACTATACTTATTATCAGGAATGATCATAAATTTGACAATGAACTTGTTCTATTCTGAGTTAGATCAAACGAACATTTCAAGCGTAAAATGTACATGGATGCGTCAAACTTATTCAGGCAGTTACGCGAATTTTATTTTAGGCTGTTATGACTGGACACTTGTAAAACTGGGTCTATTCCTTAAATGTACTGAACACTTTCTGCGAAGTTTCTCTTACTTATCAAACTATTGTTAATATTGGCTACTTTGATTTCCTAAGTGAATATTGATGAAAATTCAACCTTTTAACAATACTGTTGTTATGCAATCTATTGATTCTAAACTCATCTATAATAATTGGTCACTGAATAATGGTCGACGTTTAGTCCTTCGTTCGGAATAAATTTTATCTGTAAAGCTGTAACACGGTCACTAGTCTATGTGACTTGACATCGTGTGAACTTTGGTTTGGTGTTTGGTGGTCTATGGGAAACCTTAGATCATGGTTTTGTGTCAGTCGGTACTTATCAGTAGGAGTTACCTACAATTTTGAGGGAGTTGAGTTTTCTCATTAATTACATAATATCTTTAGATATTATAGTTAGCATATTCAACTTAATAGACGAATTAAGTTGCCAACTATTCATCGTCAGTTTCATGAATACTTGTAGTATGCAATTCTTTCCACTTTATAATTTTTGCATAGACCAGAAACGGTACCTGTAACATATATGAAATCATCCATGTTGTAGACTCCATTCATCTGTTTACGATCTATAAATTAGAATGTTAGTTATCATTAAGGCTTATAAGTTTATTTACTACATATTATCACGTTTACAGGAAAGTACTAATCGAGGTTGATAGTGTCATTCTTAATTCTGTTAATTTAAGAGATAATTGGTGGTGAAAATTTCTCGGTTGAATGGATGATTTCAGGTGGAGGTTTGATCACGAAGCTACTTCTATTCCTCTGAACAACATCATTAACACGAACTTCAAGTAGAAGTGTGTTATCCGAATTTATCCACAAACGATTGACATTTTGACCTATCGTTCTTGACCGTGATTGGCTATTATTGACTAGTTTCCTGTTGTTGTCTGTATATTTATTTTGATTGTCTCTCCCTTAGATCTAACTCTTGATCCTTTATAAGTTCATGATTTTTTTAAACGCTTGACCAATCTAATTGATTTCTGTGTGTTTATTGACTGTTCACTAATCTGAGTGCCTAGCTTCTAAAAATTCTCTGCTCTTTTTTGTATTTCCTCTGTCCAACTTCTCGGCATATCAGTTGAATATATATCATCCACAATTAAAGGCGTGCATCGATAATGGTAAATATACCATTCAGTGTTTGCTAGCTAGTTAATGTTCATTCAGACAAAGATGAAGAGCTCGTCCACTTTATTTGATGTAGTTTCTCATAGTTGAAACAGTTTGTTGTATATATGATGTTTGGCTTTTCTTCTTGATCGTTTCAGCGTTTGACTGAGTAAGATTGCAAATTTTATGTTGTCCAAAATGTTGTAAATCAAATTGTTAATACTTTCTTGCTCATTCTTTTTTAATGATAAAATTTAAATTTTCAGTATAGGGTTGTTGAGATTACTAAGTTTTTGATTGAAATCATGAACTGATTGATGTTAAACCACCATTGAAAACTTAGGTTCGAGTCTCACATATGAGATCATAGATGCGCACTGTTGAGGAGTCCCACAATAGGATGAAACGGTCGTCCAGTACTTCCAGGTTTTCAATATTGGTCTAACATCAATCAGTTCATGATATCAATCAAAAAATTCAAATTTGTTGACTTCTCACCGTCGCAAACGGTTTCATTTTTGAATATTTGGTAGAATAACGTTTCATTTAATTAAAATAACCCATAGTGTCATTGAATAAGAAAAAGAGAATTCAGCGAAGAAAATTTTCTTTTCGACGAAATCATTTACTTAAGCTGTACATTCGTATATATAGTTAGATATGGAAAATGTATGTCTATAGAAGGATAGAATGGATTGTATCACACAAAAAATGGATTCGACAATAATTAACAAATGAGGTTAACGTAAGGAGAACAAAATTTAAGGGTCAGATAATAGTCCAATTGACAGATATGAAGAAAAACGTCAAAACAACAAAGGTCATAATAATAGAGTGAATGATAATCAAGAAAACTTGTAAAAGGTAATAATAATAAATGATTAGAGTTTAAAGTGCAAAATAGTAATAATAAAAGTGCATTGAAAAAAAAAACAAAAAAAAACACCTAGAAACATACCCATAAAGGGAATTAGGGCCAGGGAAGGATAAGAGGTTGGACAAATCGTTTCTGCACGCAAAGTTCAGGCTTTAGTTTGTGGATTGCCAATGCCTCTGCGGTGCATAAAATATTGATTCGAACCCCCTTCGATCCAGTTCCTTTGACTCTGTAAACTATTTTAAACGAAGAGTCTTTTGGAGCGATATGTCCACAGTTGATTAAGTGCTCCTGTATGGAACTCGTGATTGTTTTTCGCTCCCCTTTCAAAAGCCAAGCCGGATAATGTTCCGAGACATACATTTTCCATATCTAACTATATATACGAATGTACAGCTTAAGTAAATGATTTCGTCGAAAAGAAAATTTTCTTCGCTGAACATTTCATTTGTTGTTCTGAATAAAATAATTTGATTCTTTATTTTCTTGGTTTATATCTAAACTTATTTGTTCATTTTAACTTGGCAGTCCATCTGTCATTTTCAATTTTGTATTAAAAATTACACAGTCTTATTAATTTTTTATTTCTTTGTTATCGATATGCTCCACAGTCCTTTTTTTGTGTCTAGAATACTCATCTAACTAATCAATAAATAGTCAAATAGACGAAGAATTTTTTGTATATCTGTTGACCTTATATTGATTTGTATCCATGAGATCTTCATATTTCACTAAGCATTATACTATAGATACGATTTATGTTACATATATGCCCCCTCCCATTTTTTTAAAGAAACAGTTTATGTGATTTATTTAATATCACTACTTTAAACTGTAAGTAGCTAACAGAATCTATGTAAACTCTATATTTATAACAGCCTCAGTACTAATTAATTGGTACTGAATCTGTTGTGTATTTTAAAATGTATACACCTATGCTAATGTAGAATCATAAAGAACAGTTGATTGAAAAGAACCATTTTCTAGAGCAATTTGATATTGTTTATTAAATAAAAGTGTACTCTATATACTCTCTCTCTCTCTCTCCATATATATATCTATATATATATTCGACTATACTTAAATTAAGTATTGAACATAAGTTTATTTTACCAATGCCAAATAAAATCTACTCATTTAAACGAAAGAATAAATCATTTAATTATAATTGTCGTTAAGCATTGATTAGAATGTGCCAATGGAAGATGTGCACAAATGAGTCATGGAAACCATAATAATGATTTAAACCTTTTAATTAAATAAATAATAGAATCAAAATATAACTTGTCACCGAATTCAATTATTTTCTTTTATTAAACTAAACAAACTTTATCATATACCTATTAACAAAATTCTAGAACATTCTCTTCAAGTTCATGATGGTAATTTACTGATATTATCTAGTTTAATTAATACTAGGAATGGTTACACATATATATATATATATATTCTAAGGTATCAAATTAGAAAGCTAACAAGAAATGAATCCATTTTATTTTTATTACTCATGGTATTCAACAATTTATTCACTTGGAATTGAATACTTGTCTCTTCTTATAAGTAACAACTATTACAAAAAGAATCGATATTCACTTAAAGCTTTAAAAACGTTTTGTTCAGAGTTCATATTCTTTGAATATATAATATCGAAATAGTTCAAATCTATCAGAAGATATTAGTTTTCACAAAGTTAGTAATATTTCATACTGCTTAGTGTCTGTAAAGTTATTAATATGTATCATTCTACTAATAGATAGTTAAAAGTGTGGTGTGAAATACTTAAATTCACATAAGTAGTATATAACGATAGTTACGAATAGAATGTATTTCAGTAGAAGATTGAAAAGGAAAAAAAAACGGGAATGGAAAGCAATTGATATGAAAATGCAGGAACAATGAAATGTGAAACGATGGGCTGATTTTTGCAGAAGAAACAGTGAAGTTTGAGACAATTGATTAATATTTTGCAAATTAAATATTTACTGTATTGTACTCAAATTTCAGTGAAATGTTCTGTAATTTCAGATTGAGACACATCCACTCGTGTTCTTGTTTACTACGAAAGTACTTTATGGCAAATCCCAGAGTCTCCATAATCATTAGTAAAGTGTATATTTTTTAATC